TATATATGGGAAAACAGAGACTTTTGTCTGAATTCACAGATAAAGAATTGAATGATTAGACTCAGATACGTTCAGTGTATGCATTACCTTATAGGTTTATTATTATTAAACATATGACTCATACTTACGATACCAGTGCACGCCAGAGTCTGTCGCTGTGGACAATAGATGCATTCACTCTGAAAACGAAAAATGCCACACGTATGCAGCATGAAACGATTATCTTCTGTAAAGAGTAAAGTTACGTTGAGCGGACCTCAAGGTAAAGGTTCGCAGATGACAAAACCTTCTTCCATTTTTTCATTCTATTTTATATATACGTACTGCATTACATAAGCAAAAGTGGCAACGGCTTACGCGTCAACCTAATAGCTTGAACAAATGGATTCAGTATATATATATATACAGAATGCTTAAGACCATTTTTAAAGGAACTTACGTATGTTTATTATGGACCCTCTGATAGTGTATAACGTTCATGTCGGCTATAAACATGTTCGCTCACAAAATGTGTATTTATTATTCCCAATAGATTAGAAAACTTTGTGCGCACTGTTTTATCTACACGTATTCTAAGATTGTCACAAAAACGTCGCACGACAGATTATATAGCACACTGTTTTTTCTGCTCTTACACTTGCGAATGTTCGCAGGCCAATGATCAATGGCGCGAAAGCGCGATGGCCCAATTCTAGAATAAAATGGGCTTAGTGAAATAAAGAGATACTTCTAAAATAAGTCACTCAGCAATTGATTGAATTTTTTGCGTGGCGCGGGCTGACCCTGAACTTGATCGGTTGAAAAACTCGCTTTTTCTACAGCATCCGGCAGCACCGCTGCACTGTCACCGTAGTCTCTGTGAAAAATGTCTATTTTCTATTTGCAGAACGTTCGACCGTTTGGTGTCTTGGGGGCGTAAAAGCCCGAGCACAAGACTCGGCAGATTAAATTTATTGCGTGGATACAGCGAAAAGTAATCGTCGAAATTTAGAGGACAAATAAACAATTTGGGGTATCGATGTAGGCAAAAATGGGTCTGCAAGTCTGTCTAGTGGACTCTCGGGTTGTCGGGGTGAACCAAATGGTCTTAACGGGTAACGAAATGAGGCAAGGATAGAAATAAATTATCAGCAGAATCTGCAGTTGGGACTGATTAAGCAGCTGGCAGTCCGGGATGGGACTGTCTCTCTAAAGACAAGGTGCGTGTCTAAACGTTCGATTCGGATAAGATGGTTGATACTACTCTGCGATGAAAGTGGACAACACAAAAAAGAATACCCTCAGCAGTTTCTAACGGGTGTGTTCGTTTCTATAGGCGAACATTGCGGAGTGATGTTTAGGAAAACGGTCAGGTCACTTGTACAATTGGACAAATATATTTTAGCATAGTTGAGTGCGGAATGGACCGCGACACGTCGTGGCACTTACGGGCAAAACGCTCGATATAGCTGAATTGGAATTAGTTAGATGCATGCAAACCAACTCTGCTTAAGTTCTTGGCAGCAAATAGGATTACGATCAAAATTTATAGCCGGTTTCTAGCTGATCGCTGGATAATGTACCCGTGCCATGAAGGTATGCTTGATTTATTCACTATTACCTTGTGATAACGCGCTACCTACTAAGAAGAATACATCCAAAATCATATAATAACAAACCATATAAAGAATAAACAAAGTGTCTATGACATATACATGAATTGGCGGCTTTGCCTTTGAGTATATAGAAAACACCTGTATGTTCAACGTTGCGTCGGCTAGCAGGAATAAGTAAGTATCTCCTTTTTCCGTTAAATTTCTGTTCTTTTTCTATGTCCATTCTTGGCTGTAATAGCTTGTCGTATAAAAAGAAGAAGCCCCCTAACACAGTCAGATTACTTTAATTTTTTCTAGTGTTTGCCCCGGTGTCTAGTGACTTTGGTTAAATTGAAGCAAACCACGCGCGCTCCCACTGCTTGCTTTTGTTCGGTCACAGCCTGTGAGAACCGCTTTCGCCCAACAGCGCCATTAGTCGTAGCAGAATGAGCAAGAAGACCATCACGTACAAAACACAACAGGCGCAAATTAGTGGATCTCGTTGAGATTCACTCTATAATTATGTACAATTTGACTCACCCTTTTGTTTTTACACCAGAGGAATATCCTTCAACGAGAGCAGCCAAATAGAGCGACACACGAATTTCACATTTCCGCAGAAGTGGAGAGACCTTATTTATTTCGTGACGTGCCCGATAACGTACGATCGCTTTTACAGCCAGCAAAAAGAATAGATTTCTGTACATGTTAACATGAATTCCTCTAGATTGTCCTAGTCAGTTATTAAAGGCTGTAAGATATCGCGCGTTTTTTTCAAACACTGCCCTCTCTCCGCAAGCCTTTTGAGTATATTAGGCCACGTACGAATCGAAAGGGTTCGGTTTTTTCTGTAGGCCTGCAGTGTTTGTGTGATGTATCGATATAAGGTCCTATGTATACACTACATATGTATACACATACGCGCTATGATGAAGTTACTGGCGAACATTGGTTTGCGAAGCTTTAATAGCGCTATTCATATTTGAAGAACAGACTCTGATATGAAAAACGCTTCGAATTCAACCGAGGTTGTATCTTGAGCTGCTTGGACAAAGCGCACGAAATTGAAAAGACTCGTAAATCGGCTGAAAAAATATATTCTTGCCAGATTGCTATTCTAACTCACTTACGAACGATGCCGCATCTGCAATGCGACAGTATTTACCCTTTAACCCAATAGTATTAGTAGGGCAGCCGTCAATGTCGAGTAGTTTGGTGCTTACTTAGCGAGCTGCAAAAAAAGATCTCGCTTTGAGGACCCGATGCCCAAGACCCGAAAGTTCAGTAACTAGACCCACCTGTAAACCAAGTGGCCCAAAAAAATTGAGTGTCATTATTTCCGCAGAAGACAAAAAAAGTTACGTATTGCGCGAGAGATTTATATACCTATAAATAGCCTATCCTAATAGCAAATAGTACCTCTGATATATATATATATATATATATATATATATATATATATATATATATTGGAGAAATTGTATAAGTTAAAGTAATAAGTCGAAAAATTATCCTTAAAATAAGACTCACAATTGAAATAACATTCCTTCAATAGAGTCGACCACCTATGATGATCAGGTTTCTGTCAAATAAGTATTTTTAGCAACACCTGAATTGCTGACGCAGACAAAAACGGCTTACGAGTATCAATAGATAGTACCGTTTCCATAAAACGCGGTTTCTTAAACTGCATGATTTTCAGTGGCTACTTGTTATCACTAAAGTTCTTTATCGGGCTATATCTATAACAGAAGAGCTTATGTAGAGGGTGTGTCGACACGGAACATTATATTAGGAACGTGATAACTTGCAATACAATATCTCTGTGTATTGCACACATTGAAAAAGATGTGTACATTGTACCTTCTTCATACACCCCATCAAGCGGATTTGGTGTCGGCCATATCATGCCGATGCTCCAGTACGAACCATAGCTTTATACAAAATCGCTAGGAGATCACAGAAACTCCGTACGGCTGCAATTATATCTGTACACTTTGCCACGTCGTCTAATTAGCTCTATTTAAACATTTTGCGCGCCCTCTTGCGGATTAACTGAAAGAAAACGAAGAGATCCCTCTGTTCCGCCGTATTATTACATAACATTTGTTTTGTAACAGAAAGATTCAGATATGCATATTCTATTTAAAAAAGCTGATAGGAATGCAGTAATCATGTTTTGATGTTTCTGTAGAATGCAAAGTTTTTGTAGCCTTAGGAATGGATCATGTATATGTGACTGAGCAAGGAAGTTTATACGTGTATAAGGGTTTACTTTTTCAATTTCTATCAAAAATAAACACAAATAAAGAGGTATTATTTGCTAAAAATTGTTTCCCATTTCTGAGGATTCCTAGTCAGGTGCTTTGATGACCCGCTCGTGTGGAGAGGGTCTAATTATGTTCACCAGTTAATGACCCTATGAAAGTTCTATGCGATAGATGAGGTATATACTGCGTTACGCGTAGCAAACATTCGATCAATTAGGCACTTTTAAACTACTAGAATATACATTAGGACGCACTTTACCCTCCTTAGTTTTCACTCTCAACGATTACGATTTTATAACTAATAAACTCCTGTACGTACATCACATAGTTCTTATCAATCAACAGACTGTCACATCTTCGATGTGAGGTACCGGGCGATTTGTTTAGATCAATGATAGATTCATTGCCGATTTTATGGCTAACAGTGTAAAAATAATACTGCACTATAGCATTACCTCAAAGAACTTCGGATCAGGTAGAAAAAGACCCGTTTAGAGCATGCGGGTGCGTGTGTCTGTTCGCATGTGGATGCTAATAGGCATGTATAAAGCGTAGAATGTATAATAAATTAAATCTTTTTAGATTCTGCACTAAGATTACTAGTACTAAGTATACTGTTTAATACTATCTAAAGATTTAAATAGCATTCCTTCTTTTTCATTACGAAAAAAATAAACGGAAAAGAGTGAGGAGGTGTGTCTTCAACAGAATACGAAAATATCATATATATAAAAGTAAATGATTATCGTTTTGAAACGCTCTCTTCGCAAATCCTTGAAGTGTCTCGTTTTTTACTCGTTGAAAACCCTGCGGGGGAGCATTTGTGACACGAATTGCCTTGACTCTATTGCGCGGGGGCATTACCAATTAAAATAATTATGTTTAAACAAGAACCTGTTCCGTCGATTAGAGTCAAGTAGACTATCTTTAGCGGAACATAGCGTGGCTTCTTTTATTTAATTAAATATATATTTGGAGTTTCAATGAAACATAACAAGTTTTTCATTACTTTTACTTAAATTGTGAGCAGCTTAAAATGTCATGACGTTCGAGACAGTTGATGTTGACCTGCAACAACCAACACTTCGTTATTTCCTCCATTTGTATGCTATTGACCAAATAGTCTGTCTCAATGCCTTCTTGAAATTAAGGAAGTTTTTCCAGATCTTCAATCCTTCAGATGCGACGTGGACTTCGTTGCACGTATGCAAACATTTTCAGTATTTTTTCCGGCCATTGTAAGGGCGATACCATTGTAGGATATCCATTTTGGTGTTAATTCCATCAGTAAATGTTAAACACAAATATTGTCGATGATAATCGGATTTTTTTAATCGATTCACTTCCTTTCGTGTTGAAAGGTGCCAGCCGTCTGAAACCGTGCTTAACTAGGACAATACAGGGCGTACAATGTTTGCTTGTTAACCGATTGCTGTCTCTAGCACACATACTTAATATCGATACGTGAAAAAGAAAAAATCCATCAAAAACATTATTATGATGGAATACAAATTTTAAAAGGTAGTTGAACCCGCAATTGTCATCACTCGTATTCATGGCATATGACATCATTGCAGATCTTAACAGAACGAACAAAGTTGTAACGTTTGGAATAGCAGCATTAGCTATAAAAGAAGATCGATCGATTTTTTAATTTAATTAAGAACATAGGTAAGTGGTGTGCCGTAAAGCGTCCGTAATCAGAACGGAATAATTGTTAAATGAATATGGTGTGGGTCCTTTTCGAGCCCAATTCTGTTCCGGCTAAGTACGTTTTTTGTCGTCAGTGATGTTAACAGATCGAACATGTTTTGATAAACTGTCCCGTTCTTATAAATAGCTCAGCTAGTGATGCTCTCACAATCTATCTGTTACATGTCATATATGGGTAGGGTAACAGCATATGGTCAATAATATGTTGAACTAGCTTTAGGACTATTTTGCTATTGTTCGATAGAAGATAACCGAAACAACGATCGAGTAGATCTTACATTGACGACTTGCGGGAGGCAGCAACGAAATAAGCTACAAGATCTATTTTTATGTATGTCAATATGTAGGTCCGTAATTTATGGCGTAAGCATTACTTACGGCTTGGGTCGAGTCGATAGCGTCATAATTGAGGCAAACATAGTAAACAATCTGAAAATAAATCAGAATTTACCAGAATCGAGAACGACCAGAGGGAAAATTATAGCAAAAATAGTATTAACGATTAATAGAAACAACATATAAAATGAAGCTGAATTCCAAGTGTACCGAGGACAACTATAGTAATATATCTATGTACAGTTGAAAACTGAAATAATCTGTTTAAAGATAATGATTGACAATGTGATGCAGTTCACAGGGACAAATCTCATTACGTTCGGCTCAAGATGTTTACCTATTCCTCATACATACCTTTTATGGAACCGTTAGTAGTAATTTCGGCTTGGTATGACAGTCGCATTAAACTGTGTTTAATTGCATGTCGTACGAGCCTTTTTTCTTAATAGGTCCAATAAGAGTGTTTTTGATTTGTGAGCGATCATATGGCCCTGCACTGCGCATACTCATGAAGGACGAGGTCTACGAGAAATAAGCTAAAGCGCTAGAAGGCACCGCCTCACGTAGCATCAGCTCAATTGTTGGCCCCGTATTACCGCCACAGCCATCCAAAAGTGATTGTCGCATTTCGTCAAAAACCACAAATATCTTTTAAATATACGTACATTGCCCCTGATACCGTCCTACGTATGCGGCCTAGCGATTTCGTATTGAGCATGTCAGAGATCTACAAAGAAATTTGGCAAACAAATTGACAACCGTTCGTGGTGAGGATGCCCACGCAACGATGTGATAAATCAGCCAGCCAGCCAGCCATCTTGCCAGCCGGCGAACATTGCGTTCACGATTGATTAACAGTGCTGATAAATCTAACACCGTTTTTTCATATTATACATATCTAAAGAAGTTAATGGTCAATAATAAATATTATACATAACATGTATGTAGAGGTCTTTCTTAGTCCTACTTCCTTACTAGATATAGTCTGAGTGAGTGCAGATGTGTGTGACATAGACACAGAAATTACGTAGAAGTAGTACTAGCGGTATCAAAAAACCCATGTTGCTGCATGATTTGGGGTGAAGAACACCTTTCGAACGTCAACTCAGTAACCTGTAATACCACAGTTCGTTGGCAGGAAGTAACATAAAGTAGATTGATCTGTTACTTTAAAAGATGCCGCGTTAGATACTCTCTGTGCTTGCCTGAAGTGATTTCTTTAGACAGTGCTATGCCAGTCCTAGATTGAAATAGATTGAGATAGGCATTAGTTCTAAAACAGGGAATTCAAAGCCCCGTTTCTAATGCAGCTTTGTGTCTATCACCCCAACGACGGTTTCCTGTTTGAATTTAGATTTTTTTCAAATGCATATGTTATGTATGCTGTGAACTGATTTGCGTATTTAGCTGGCCAGACTGGCCTATTTGTTCTTCTTTAGGACAGGTCTAGGAACGACATCTCCTTAGTTGCATCTAGTGTTCGAGACCACAGATCAGTATAGGGGAAGGCAACTGCTGCGAACAGTTCGTTTAGGGGCTTATGAACTGAGAAATCCCCGAGCATATCATATATAAAATAACAGACAACGCCTATTAACTAAGATGTCTTAATTCGGTTTCGGTGTAAGGGGCCTCCAGATTTTTCACCAAACCAAAAATGAATCATGACCAATTGTCCGGAAAGTGGATACATTGTCCTATAAAAAAGTGCCTATTCCGTGAATTCGATACTATCTATTCGATTTACGCCAACTACATATAGGGAAGGACCTTAGGTTAAAATTTGGTTGAGTCTATCGCCGGCATTAATACAATGGAACTCACTAATACCCCTCTCAAATAAGCATTCATTGCTATTGCATCTTGCCTTTAAAACTCGTATACGAAAAACACGACTTCATAATTCTGATTAGTTACGTATTAAGAGGTATTAGGGGATCAAAATAGTAACGGTGGCGCGAGTTCATGAAGGTTGCACGAAAGCAAGAAAACGGTAACAAACCTTGTTAGTATCAATCGGCGGTTAGCCTTTAGGAATATCCCTGTTCCGTACGTAACTGATGGCGCACAAATTGTCAGAAGATTATCCATTCCGTGTTTGCAAAGCTCAGTTATTGATGGTGCAAAAAACGGTGAACGTGTGTATTTAGTACATGAAACTATATATGTTTAGCATGTGTAACGGTTTGTGCTAAAGTCGATCTTCCTTTATTCAATGTTATGCAAAAAATAGAATAGATTCCATCGGTTTAAAAGGTTTTACTAATTAGTAAGGTTACTAGAATTTCTAATAAAACAAATAGTACCAATTATAGGAATTTCTAAACAATGAGAAGATCATTACCATTTCTACATGTGATATATTCAATATGCTTGCGCTACGCCACGTTTTTTATCAGGTACATCCACTGAGATGTTTTTTTTTTTATAAATCAGTGGAGACACGTATTTTCTATAGCGACATAATATATGTAACATCATAGTTTCATAGCACCTAAGACTTTCGCATTATCTCAGAAGAAGACTGCCCACCCGATCCATGACATCCTATGTATATATATATATATCGTCATTAAATCCTTCTGTGAAGCCTTTTTATGGCTTGACTCGAAGAAATATACTTATCATTGCTATGCTGCTCGTAAGCTACCGCTTACCATGTAAGCCTGGCGCACGGGTAAACCTAGCCTGGCGATTTTTTTTGATAAAACTGTGGCCATAGAGCAGTCGAGTTTGTCTTTCTATAACACAAGTACGTCTACCGTAGTTCCTTTCAAATATTCCTATTTAAAATCTCTAACTGATACTCACGGCTCTTTGACGCGGGTTTCGTGAACCAAAAAAGAACGCTTCAGCCTCTTGCTTTACTATAAAAAGTGTGAAGATCGCACAAAGAAGGATCGAATTTAAGGATAAGATATGAGAACGCATGACGACGTTCCGCGGTATCCTGCGCGCATACACCGAGGTCACAAATTAAAAGAAGAATCGATTGTTAGATATTGTTTAGGGTCTCTTAGAAACGGATCCGTTTTAATTCTTTTTGCCAGGTAATAGTACGAATATACTTTACATAGGGTAACAATTAAGCTGAGATCATAAGGCGTATAATTCGCTGAATCATCGCAAGCCGGTTTATAGAAAGATTGAAAGTTCTCTATTGGAAATTTAGATCTACACTCCTATAATTTGCTGAACTACCGGTACTTCGAAGCCGGACGCTTAAAAGTCACTTACAGTCGGTGAGAGTTTCAGTTCCACCAGGCTAAATTCATTTTTAATTTCGCGAATTAGATGCCTATTGAACGTATTTCTGTAATATTTAGTCCACTACATCTCGACCATGTTTATCTCACGGGATCCTCTCGAGTATAGCCTCCAGCGGTAGCGCGCTTAATTTCCTATTGCGCTGTATAAACTTTTCCGCGATTCGTGAGTAGAATTCCATTGTTTCCAATGCCAACTGGCTAGTGTGACAGCAACTGGCCTTCGACGCCGTCAGGGGTGCCTTGTGCCAAGTCCGCAATAACAGGCCCGCACAACAAGCTCTTCTACTTACCTTATGATAAAAGCTTTTCGCTCAACATGTCTATGGTTTTGGATAACTGTGTGAATGACACGTTGTAAACTGTAATGCCTCAGGATGCTCACGGAAGTGTGAGTCGTGTTTTCTTGCAGCAGGAAAGGGTTTCTCGCAATAGCGAACTGTCTACTTTTCAGTACCCCTCGTAATACATCGACTACTCTCGCTCACTAATGGTTGAACATGCGGAACGAAGGCGGTATTAGGGCTTGCGGCAGTCGAGCTGCTGGACTGCCCAGATGACTGGCACTTCTGTTCTTGAGCCGGACGTAGAGCAAGCACAGCTTATTTGGGACGCTTCGGTCAAGAAGTGCTAGACTCTTATGGTTTTGCGCCATCCGGATTAACTCAACATATGAACCTATACGCGGTAGAGAAATTAGAAACGCGGTAGAAGCCAAGACCTCGGCGTTCTTCGAATGCTCTCCGAAAGCATTAGTTCAAATTTTACACCACGATCATCTAGAGGAGACCGCTTGACACTCACTATCACGCCGATCGCGAAATCAACACAAACTCGTTCGAAATGTTCACACTCCCGGCCTTCCAGTAGTCATTTCCGTTTCTCTGCCAGTCGCTCATTTTCCTCAGCCCATCGCCTAGACTTCCCTTCGTTGTATCCCACGAGGGACGGCTCTAAATCAGCCAGCCGCCCAAGTAACGCGATTTTGACCATATCGCGCATCATCCCACCTCTGCCCCAAGAATAAAGCGAACTGGTTGAGCTCCAGCGTTTCACAGCCACTCGCTTCACGTTTGTATAGCTGTAGACGTGTATTGATCCAGATATTTATGTTACAATAACTTATCTAACAAACTATATAATTTATATTCAGGCCCTAAATAGTATATAGGAAATATCTCCAAGCTTAGATATTTAGAACCAAGCAGAAAAACCAGGATTTTATCATTGTAGGTTTTGATATATCTATGAAAGGAGTATTTCCAGCCAAGTCGATTATGGGCCAGGCTCTACTAACAAGCCCGTCCACGGAAAGTAGTAATAGTCCTCGCAAGTATAATCAAAATAATTACAAAATGTGTGGTTAACCAAGGATCATCGTGTCGGTTATTATTAACTGCTAAAAAGCAGAAAAAATTTGATAATATTGTTAAGCCCATCTTTTACCTACAGCAGGTTATCACTTGATAATTACTAAGCCAATATAATAAATATAAAGGCTATAAACGAAGGCCGTCCGACAATCGCGCGCGAATCGAACCTCGTGCACGGCGAGAACGACAGAGTTTTTAAAGCCCCGTGGTGCAGCGCAAGATAAGAAGGATTTTTTTAATAAACGTCGAGGTCAACAAGCAAGAGCTATTATATCGTAATTCCATATAACTTATAATATCTGTGGTCGTTCTTTATTTAGCACATTTATTTGGGTAAGAGTTTTTAGATAAAAAAACAGCAGGATTCAAAATACATCTAATAAGTTGTGTAAGTATCTGAATCAACTGGGAACTGAAGCTTAAAGTAATGGCAGATAAAATGAGATGCGTGTAAACGGACGAAAAAATAATGGTTTCATGCTATACTTCTCCACTCCATGGATCAGATGTTTACCCTAAAGAAAGCAATACTCTTCTCTAATAGGCTCTGATAGGCGACGTAGTTCATTTTTGGCACAGTTTAGGATTACGGAAACCTACTAGGTTTTGCATTTTCGAACCTATTTTTAAATGTCCTTAATTGAAAATAAAATTAGCATCAAATAGTTGGTAGAAACAAATAAATAAATTCTACCATGGACACATATTTTAAAGCATAAACTGCTTTGCTTGCCTTATATCTGGATAACGTATTTTAGCATTAACACCGGATTGTTGTTGAGCATTTTTTAGCCAAAATTAAATCAAATGCTTGTTTTAAAATGATATTACTAAACCAAGTATGTGCTACTTTAATCGTTGACTAGTTACTATTATTCTGGTAATATAATAATTCTATCTTTATAAAATTCCTCTAGTTCCTGGACAAAGCTTTTTAATGGGTCATTTTTGTATTCATTCATTGAAACTAAGTGAACATCATTGAGGTAGTTTCCCGGAAACGAAAATGATACTGTGAAGGTGAGGGACAGGTCCGGATTAGACGGTAAATGCCTTCAAATTTTCCATTCAGGTCCATGTCACGGTTCAGTCACTTGCTCCTATCGATTTTTTCAATGGCTCTTGCTTGCAACTTCGTCAGGTATTGACGGTAGAAATCGTAATCCATCGTTTAACCTGGCGGAACAACCCAGAATGCGCGAGTTCTTTCCAGTTCCACCAAACGTCTTCTTTAGCGTCAGCCTGGGTTTACTACTAATCGTATAACATACTCGAATTATTTGTTTAATTTGTCGTATATGATCCAGCCGTAATTGACTCTCTAGAGAAGGTCGACTTCGTGTCGTTTCTATAGAGATTCAGAGACGGTATTTGGCAACGGTTCTTGTGTGTGACACCCAAGCACCGAGTTATTAGAGCTATTTGTTGGCCGATGTTTAGTCCATAGATTAAGCTTGCTCAAATTCTGCACTAATTTTGTCAACTTCTGTTATCTAGAAAGAGCATATGTCAAACCGAACCAATCTTTGGAGTATAAATAGTACACATTTGTTGTAAATATATTTATAAAATTGCAATCATAAAATTGTAAATATTATATATGGTAAAATATTGTAAACAATAGAGAATTCTATCCATGTTCAAAGCGCTCCGTCGTGAGTCTGAATAAAGACATATTCTAATAATTTTCCTACATCCACTAATAGACTTGATTTTTCAAAAGGGACCAACGTTGACCCGAGTCAATTTGTAACCGATTTTTAACAACCTGACGATTCGTAGAATTTTATCCTATTTCCTGTGTGTTATTGATGTTTGCGATATTAAATATTTGTAACACGGTAACTATTGCAAGTGTACTTTCGAACGTATCCCTGAGATGTCAGTTCCTTTTTATCGAATTATTTGAAATAAAAGTGCGGATTGGCTACGTCCTATTCTCGTATCAATATCGCTAGATAGGTACGTATTTAAGTGGGCCATTCGGTCTTAGTGTGGCACTAGAACACGTAATCGTTGCGTAAATGATGCTAGCGAAATTATAATCAGCCAGTATTTTTTCAGAAAAATCTTACTTATTACCAGTGAACTAAGTACTGTTTGGTAGACGAAAGCACATAATATTTTTATCGTTTTCGAAAAATCTATGGTAATAGGTTATTGTTTTGGTTAGATTTATCTATGATTGATTAACCGTTTCGTTATAAGCTAAGTTCAATTGATAAGGCGAAACTTTAACCGTTCAGGTTTGAATCGGTCTCGAGCGACAGAACACAACTCCAATTATAAAGTAGATACAAAAAGGACTTTGGCATTCTTCGTTTATCACGTACCTGCTATTTTCGTTGGGCTCAAACAGGAATATATTAGTCCCGTACGCAGTGAGTGTTAAATGTCAAGCGCAGATGTTACCCATTGCAACTGGTTGGATTTTACCGTCAGTGAAATGGCGGCTTCGCGCATTGGCCTCTCAATGAATGGGTTGGTCCCCGTTCAATAAACAGCTCACCTAGCATCATGCGTTAGCGGATCTCTTCTGCTAAGGGATGAATTGATGCTGATACAATCGCTAAGTGGACCCTTCTCGAAACTGATCTCGGAGAGGGTGACGCAAATAGTTGTCACTGTGTATAACAGAGGTTCGGAGCACTGTCATTGAGGGCCTATCATACGTAGCTGAACATTTCTATAGGACGTTGGCCGGGGACGACAGGAATGGCGAGCCGTTCTAGCGAACGAATGAGCTCAAGACTGTGAAACGGACGGACGAATGTTATGTAGAATCCAATAATGCAGATAAGGAGGCGGAATTTATTTGTACTAGATATCTGCTAATTTGAAGATTGCCCAGAGCTTTGTGTTAGAGGAAATGAACTATGAGTCGTTGAAAGTTATTGATTGTTTTGACAGAATAGTGGACAAACTCACCCTATACTGTTTACTGGTCCTATTTATTATAAAGATATTGAACTGTGACCGACTCTAACTTTTTTTTTTATTTCATATACAGTTAATATTTTAACAATACCTATCCATATGATAATCTTATAGCCACAGCGAACAGGAATGGGCGGCTTTATTACAAGTCAAGTCTGAAGAAACGTTGAGCATTGACACGTTTCTTTCTGCACTGGGAGCCAGTCGACTAGAAAACTTGATACATTTCAATAAGATTAAAGAATAAAGTAAATAGTTAGAATTTGAGCTACCCTCTGCTATGGCTAAACTTTTTCTAACAATTTAATTTTCTAAAATTAGGCTAAAGCCAGCGGGTTGGGAGACAAATACCTACCCTAAATACGTTTTAGTGTTGTTAGTAAAAAAAACAAATTCACTCGATAGTGTTATCGTGTTGATAGAGACCGTCGTTTATTTACTATGAAAATTAATTTCTACTAACATGTACTCATATCGTTCGAGCAACGTAACTTTTTAGGTTTTAAGACCATGTAAACTTAGAAACAGGAAGATAATGTTTTGTTTTCTCATATTCTATCATCTTAATTGAAGTTAAATTATTTAACGTAGACTGTGGTAGATTATAAGCAATTAAAGAGATCAATTAAACTGGATATTTATGACGGAACCTCGACATCGTCGAAGAAATGTACCGTTCTTTCCGTATAATTCGTACGCTATAAAAGCGTGCAGTTCAGTCAAGTGGAGTGATTGACTTGTAGGAGATTTGTATCGGTCCTCACCGTCTTTACGCCCAGAAAAACACTCTACAGTACACAATAATCGATCAAGTTTGTGACTAATTTCGGTGAGTCTGTTACCGTTCGGTCGAAGTAGAGTTAGTAGAGGTTACGTAGAGAGTGCGCACAGCCGATACATGATGACCGAGAAACCCATATCTTGATCGGGTAACAGGGCTGATATATACCTGTGTGTATATGATGCTTGTTGTAATTAGGCGCAATTGATCAAGGCCTGTCCATATAAGTTTATAGGGGTGTTTCTGTTTTTTCAAGTTACATCATAGGATTTAGGGCGTGCAGACTGCGACGAATCCGCTCAGCTTTGGACATATTCACTTTTTGATTGACTAGCTTTAAGACGAGCATCATTGGCAAACTGTCATGAGCCGATCCACACTCTTTCGAGGGCGGCCCACCTGGCAATGAAAAACATTTTATTATAGTTGAGTAAGCAGTTCCCTTTTTAGGAATGCGAACAGACCGTATTTGCCTAGGTCCCGTTAGGATGTTATCAGCAAATGTACATAATGTAAAGGCAAAAGAGACCACCACAGCAGCAGCGGTAGGATGAGATGGGTGCTGCTAAATCGACAAACACGACAAAGCTACGAAAAAACTCTTCTAGCGACAACGGGCTATAATGCGGTTACCTTCCCTGACAGCTTGTCAGTGTCACGCTATCTAACGCGTGCAGCATTGAACGACGATCAGCGATTCACTGAGGTCGAAGATCAGCCAGGCTTTAGGTGGCTAACTTAGCACCTCTAATGAAACTCGCTGCCCTCGAGACCAACATCGATAAACAACGACGGTAGAAAACTTCGAATAAATAGTATAATGAATCTATCGGAGATTGATATTCTACGCGACATGGCCTTTTCTAAACTTATTCAAGCCTGTTAATGTTGAGCTGTTACTCATTTCTATGATGAGTCGACGATAATCGATATGACCAGACAGTAAATGCTAGTGAGATAATATACGGCAGGATG